CTCTCTCCCAGTCCCACCATTTTGTGGGATTCCAGTGCTGCAGCAAAGTGTCGAAACGTGATGGAAGGAAGATGGCAACTCTCAAAGCTGGGCTGGTGAGATTATAACACTGGCGACCTTAATACTTGTTTCTATTTTGGCTTTAATGTAGTATGTATGTACGAAAGTTTATGATGGAGAGATTCGAAGGTCGATCCTACCAGAATACCAAGCCGTCGTAACGACATAAGCAGCGTATTGCTGCTCACCAGATTATTGGAAAGCATCTTAATCACCTCACATTAATTGAGAATGGCAAAATTCACTGGATAGGTGAGGAGTGTGCCAAAGCGCCGGAACAAGTCCAAGCACTATTCATTCATCGTATTTTCGGTATGAGCATGTTTCGAAAATTATCGTCACTGCTTGATTAAAAACGCAGTCACCAGAGGTCGGACTGATAGTGAAGTTTCACCACAATTCCCCAAAATATTGTCCTATCCAGAGTATGCTGTTGTTTCGGACCTGTCCACATCTCATCAGCACCGCCAACGGGATTCGAAACTGAATGATGCGCATCGTACAGACTTTTAAAGCGTGCTAAGACTTTTCCTGATAAAAACGAGCAGGGGAGTTGAATTTGCCCACAATGCCTGATGCTTCCATTGAATTTCAAATTGCCTTGTTTCCCAAGAGAAATTCTCAACCAGACTGCCGGCTCGGTCTCGCCCCCGGCGGGACTCGAATGCGATCTTTGTTAGTGAAGCGTTATAGGGAAGAAGAGACTTTTAAGGAATTGTAGGCCTTTCCAATATCTCAATTCTGTGACGGGATTGTCGACGAAGCAAAGTTGCATGTGTCCTAGCCATTCGGCCACATTACTTATTTTCGGTTTGTAAGTAGGATCCAAGATTGCCAGTATATCTGATATAAGGACTGTATTCACCCTATTTTGTTTAAGGTGATTAAGGACTGGTAGTTTAATTTTCCCACAAATAAGTGAGTAGGCCTCATTTTCCCACTGCATTTCACAAAGCCTTGCTTTCCAAAAGCTATCATGGGAATGTCGACGATGCAAGTATGCATCACATTTGACGAGGTTACTCATTTCAGGTGTAAGTATGCTTTCTTAATCAGTTTTCTTAGATAATCTGAAGGCCGTAAGTCACTATTTTCCTTAGCTCCCCGATACTATTTGCCTCATTCCAATTTGTCCGCCCTTCCTCGACTGGACGGCTGACGTGTCGGTTGCCCAACAGGCTGATCTGCTCTTCACGGGCCGGTGATTGTTCAATTATCTGAATGCACATTCGCACGTGGGATCAAACTGGGGCATTTTGTCCTCGGATGTCCTCGTATCAACTGTTCTGCGTGCCTAAAGTATGCAAAGGGACTCCAACTTCACCTTCTTTTTCTCCTTCTAGGCCTTCACTTTTATTCGCCCACTCATCGTTCTCACCATACTTTTGCGTGGTTTTATCTCCAGGGTGAAATCCCCTCATCTCACTGCCGTTGACACAGTCGCCGAGACTGTCGGTGCTGAGTGATCTGCCTAAAATGTGGGCAAGATCAGCCGATTTGACACGTTTTTCTGAGCTCGAGTGATCCACCCATTAGGCCGTACCAACATAGAATCGCAATGGTTGGCTTATCAGCCGTTCGACCCAAAACAGCCCCCGCCATTTCCTCCATGTCACGGCTTCTCTTCAGCCTTAATCTTGTACGGCCCGCACATCAACATTTTAGCTCAATTTCGCACCACCCTTTTAGTCTCTCCTTGCCCAGATGGCTTGTCGTCGAGCCCGTAAAATGACCGAGTTGCTTCCCTTTCACCATGAGACTCCCACAAAATGACATGTCAGAAGCAACGCCACCCCTAACTACTTCTGACGTGTTCGCCCAATTGCCGTCACATTTAACCGAGGCATATTAGCATTTTTGGTGGTCCATCTTCCGGTAGGGAGTCCAGTCTCTTCGATGCGGAAAATGCCGGAGATATAAAGCCCAAACGAGCTTTCAGGTGGGGCTTGGCTATTGTCTTCGGCTGTGAAAAATCCCCTTTTCTTGTCCTCGTGTTTTTGTGAATTATTGTAAAACATGGTATCCTGCACTGGCCATGTCTGTCACATGAAGGACAAAAGCTCAGCACGGGTTCATCCGGGTCTCAAGAGGGTATGTCGAGTACTTATTGGCACAAATCTACAGTCACAGCTTCAGGTCAACTCATTTTTGGCTTCCTGTGCAGTCAAATTACGACTTATTTCAACTCGCATCTTCAAACGCAATTGAAGGTTATTCAACATCACTCTTTTCAGGTAGTCATCGGAGCCAAGCGTTCCTTTATGATAACTCATACAGCCTCATCAATTTATGGCCAAATCCTGACTTCCCTCTTGGACTTTTGTGTCTCCACAAAGCAACTCGCTTTCAATAGTCGGCTCCTTCGAAAATATTACACTGGTCCCTTCGCCTGCAACATGGGATACCATTCTGACCAATCTAATCAGGAAGAGGGATTTCGCATGATGAGCCTTAGGAATCATACGCCATAAATCAGTAGATATGAAGAAGAGCCGAGTAGATAAACTAGGTTTGGAAGAATCCCTTAATAGATTTATGTCGGAGTACCTCTCATTTCGTTTGAAGAGGTGAATGGAAGGGATTCGTAAGTTGGTTCCATCTGAGGCTGTGAGGAGAGGTTGCCTTAAGGCTGTGGTTGTAAAGTTGTGCCAATAGGTCGTCGGCCCCATCAGAGAAATACAACATGCTTTACGATAATTCATCAAAAACACGAAAGCAAGAAATGTGGCAGGCTTCCAACCTACCTCCTTCTGATGGTCCAATTTAGTCCATTTAGGCATCTCACGTTTGGGTTGGATGTCCTATGCTTTACCTAAATGTTTTCTCAAAAGTTAACTTGGATATGGGACCATAAGGAGGTAGGTGTGAAGCCGGCCACCTTTCTTGCCTTCGTGTTTTTGGTGAATTATCCTTAGGCATGGTGTCCTGCTCTGACGATGCCCGTCACATGATGGACGAGAGCTCAGCAAGGACTCTTCGGGGTCGCAGGTCGGTGCGCCGAGGACCTATTTGCACAAATCTACAACCACAGTTCCAAGGCAACCCTTCCACAGCCTCCGTTGGTACCAACATACTGATCCCTTTCACTCGCCTATTCAAATTAAAGGTACTCCAACATCAATCCGACAGACTTTCTACTTAAAAAAGAAAGGTCGATTCATGCAATAGAGCATTGTCAAATTCCAATGGAAAAGTTGTGTTCTTCCCCAGCCTGCAAAGAAATGATCGTCACACATAAAGAACATGCAAAAAGGAAAAAGTAAACAAAATGCAAAGTGACCCACAAAGATTTTACTCACCGTAAGTGGCTCAAGTTGATTTAAGGACTGATACTGCAATTTTACCTACATTATTTTGAGGAGGCCTCATGATTCCATTGAACCTCGCTTAATTTCACTTCCGAAAATATGTTCTTATTCATTCTTGCCTAAAATTTCGACCTCGCCTTATCCTCTCATCAGCAACCCAAGCTGGTTTTGCGCATAGTGGTGATATGTTAACACTTCGCCACACGGTTACAGAGTGAGCAAATCTTTTGGAAGGGAAGGCCAAGTTGTAATTTATGAAAAAATTCCAATACAATTTCTTTAATCGTCTGAAGCGATTTAGGATGATCAAATTTTTATTATAAATTATTGATAGTACCAATAAATTTCCACAACAAAATTCCCATCGTAAATTAGTGAAAGCCAATTTCGATCCATCTAATACAAAATAATTAAGAAGTGAAACTGTAACTATACATATACGACAAAAGTTTGTGCAGCTCTGCAGACGTTGAACTCACGTGAATTTTGAATGAGCTTGTGTTATCAGGTTCCTAGGTTGATCTTGCTAGTAGGAGATGACCGATTCCTCTTAGCCAAGTGTCGCTTGGTTTCGAATTAAGTAATATTTTGAGATATCAGTAGATCTTTAAAAAGAGCTTTAGTCACCCTAGGTAGAAAAAAAATAATACAAGGACTGATAGTTAAGTTTCCTGATAATGAGATGAGTAGGTGTCACGGTGCAATGAATTTCAAGTAAACTTAGAAGTGGATTGACCTCGTTTTCACAACTTGTTCTTGTTGTCAGGGTAACTTAGTAGAACAAACCTTGTCTAGAGTCCTCTGCCATAGTAGGTGTCTCTTTGACGAGTTTGTAGCTTGGTGCGAAGAATAGCAACAACTGATTGATGATGCCGACTACGATGCCGGCGAAACGTCTGAGAATGTAACAAGTTTACGATCTGATTCTGGGAATTATGATAGCTACTATGGCAGAGGAATTCGGACAAGACGCCCCGACATCAAGACCAAGTTGCAAAAACTAGGTAAGCCCAGTTCTAAAAATCGAAAGGAGACTGCGACCATACCGGGGGCCACAGCATCTTGGTCTTCATATCATCGCTTCATTTAACCTTGTCGCCAATCGTATCAAGGGTGGACTGCAATTTTAACCTCGCCTGAATCTCATTAGATCCCTAACGGAAATGGAACATGAAAGGGCAGATGTTGTGTTTCTATCGGGCTAGGCCCCATCCAAATCGCAATTTTATAGTGGGGTTATAGATCAGGCATACATGCATGTCGTAAAAATAAAAAAACGCTACAACACCGGTCTAGCCTTGATGCAAATACCTTTTGGTAAGCAATGCTAAGTGAAGGTTTTTTCGTGGGTAGGTTTTCGAGATTACCAGTAAATGACATATATGAATTGTATTTACCCTATTTTGTATAAAGTGAGGAAGGAGTGGTAGCTGATTTTTCCCACAATGATATGTGTAGAGCTGACGTTTCCATTGAATTTCACAGAGCCTTGCTTTCCCAAAGGATGTTCTCATCCGGAGTGATGACTGCAGTTTAGACCTCGCACAGGTCTTATCAACACCCCAAGCGGGATTCAAACAATGACAGTGCAGCGTGTAAGCTCGCCACGTTAACTACTCCACCACAGTGTCATGAGTTCGCTTGGGTCACTGGACAGATGTGAATTTCAAGGACTGCCAGACATTTTCCATATCACATTCTGTGTTGGGATTTTCGATGAGTGGGTCTTTGAGATTATCAGTAAATCAGATATATGAGCTGTCTCGAAAACTTAATCACATACGAGAAAAGTAATATCGTCGATTGGTTTAGCAAACATAAGTTTGCTTCATCGACAATCCCAACACAGAATGTGATATGGAAAATGTCTGACAGTCCTTGAAATTCATATCTGCCTTGTGACCCAAGGGAACTCGTGGCAATGTGGCGGAGTGGTTAACGTGTCGAGCCTACACGCCGCATGGTTCGACTCTCGCTTGGGCTGTTGATAAGAGCTATATGAGGTCTAAACTGCAGTCATCACCCTGGATGAGAACATCTTTTAGGAAATCAAGGCTATGTGAAATTCAATGGAAACGTCAGCTCTACTTATATCATTGTGGTAATAATCAACTACCAGTCCTTCATCACCTCAAACGAAATAGTGTGAATACAACTCATAAGTGAAGTTTTGACATCGCTTTCGCCACATAGTAGAAGCAACAGGAACACCTTGTTGAACCTACTTAGTCCTGAGTTCTGTGCCAAAGTATTCATCATGTATTCCAGCATCGGATGGTTGATTTGGTACATTTCCATACATCATCATTATCACGAAAAATCGTCTGCTCTCTTACCTACTGGCATCAGTGGAAGAGTGGTGTAGTGATAACCTTGTTAGGGGGACGTTCACTTTGAATGAAAGTACATGATGAAGAGATTCGTTTGTCGAACTCACCAGATGAGGACGGATGAAAATCGTTGTACTGCAGCCGTTTAGCTTTTATATTATATTCATGTTG